GACAACATTAAAAAATTAAAATCAGTCATATTGGATTCGCCATTTTAAATTATTTATTTTTTATGTCAAAATTGAAATCAGCAATTCTAAAGAACTCTTAAAAACCAACTCTCATGCGTTTTAGACAATATTTTAAAGTTCAAGTTAGCTATATTGGATCCGCCATTTTGAAAAAATTAATTCTGATATTTCGTGTTAAATGAAAAACTTATAAATATACCTTTTTTGTAATAATATAATGCCTCTTCGACTCAGGCCACATTTTCGGCAATCAATTTCACAGGAGGGGAAGGAAGGGGCTACTGTCATGACGAATGCGCCGTCTAGGTCAAGGGCTATCGTTTCCATCTCAGTGGGCCCCCTTCCCTGACCTTCCGCCACTTGCAGAGGGGCGCTCTCCCCTCTATTCTTGCTCTCATTCAGCCTCGTGCTTCAACACGCGTTCACAGAAGACCGCGCTCCAGGACTTTTCATTTCTAAGCATACTCTCTCGACTAGAAGCGAGAGGACGTTAGTAGAATTAATTTACATTTAGTACAGTATAATTTAAACAATTGAAAAAAAAAACGCATCGTGGGTGACTGGCCTAAAAAATCATTTTTTAAATATTTTTTTAAAGATATTTTTTATAGTACGATTTTAATGTTCCAATACAAACCTAGCACAATTCTCAAAATAAGTTGATTCTAAAAATGGATGGCTAATTTTGTATAAACGCAACGTGACCGAAATCCTAATCTCGATTAAACAAATCGTTTTATATGTGTCGTCGTAATTGAAAGAAAAGCATCGGCATGTCTTGTAGATATTCAACTGAGAATGATTTTGTGAAAATTAACTTTCAGCCAATTTTTTAAAATACAAGTACTCTCTCTCGCCTTTGTGCGCGGTGCGCTGTCGCGTACTATCAGGTTCTCGTTTTACTGATGTGTGCTCATCTAATGGATGGCGCCGATTGGATTAGCTTCACTCTCTAATAAATACTTTATTAAGTAGAAAAAATGCTCAGGATTTTTTGATAAATAATATTAAGATAAAAATGTTTCAGATAAAAGTTGCACAGTTACTAGGGGATAAAAAAGATAATGACTTTAGATCTTAAGATGTTCTCAAAATCAAGGTTACCTAAAATTTTTTAAATGCAACTTCCTTATTTTTTATTATCCTCCTTATTTTTTAAATGCAACCTCCATATTTTTGTAACTTTAAGATATTTTAAAATATTATAATAAAATATAAAATAAGAGCATATAAAAAATAAGAGCATAAAAAACCACAGCACAAGTTATAGTTTGTGATATTTAATTATAATATTATTACATTAATTAAAACATTAAATTCGTTTCGGCCACAATCTGGCCATCTTCAGTAATTCAATAATATTCTTAAAACAGAGTTACATCTAGTTGATATTAAATTCAACAGTCGGGAGTTGTAATTAAATAATCATGTTCTTTTCTATGTGAAGATGCTTCATACAATAATGTTACAACGCCACTTGCCATATTAAGAAAAGTGTAGAACAAGAATTTCCAGATTCTAATTTAAATAAAATTGTATATATTAATATCTTCTAGTCGGAATATAAAGAAATAGAATCATTACCTATTTTACAGCAAAAAAACTAAACGATGAATCTCAAGTACTTCTTTTGCACAATTAGAATTTTGTCGTGACATTATGTGTTGTTATTTGTCCTATCATGTATTTTACTATTTATATATCTGAGTCAACAGTTTAGAAAGTTCTAGAATTATTCATTAAAGGAAAGAGAGATCCTTCTTTAGAAGAGGAAAATAAACATCAGGCAAACCTTCCGTGTCACTTTACTTATTGATACCACATGTTTGTCTTTTTATATGTATCATTTCCGAAATTCTTCTTTTCATTAACGATTGTTCTATATCTAAAATTCTATTATCCCAATCTAATTCATACATCTCATTCAAACGATGACATGAAACCACTGAAATTTCGGAAGAAGGTTTTTTTATGTCGGCCTTATGTTCTTTAATCCGAGTTTTTAATTTCCTTTTAGTTTGGCCAACATAAGATGATTCATAATTTAAACAATTAATTTTATAAACTACTCCGCATTGGTTATCCTTAGGCAAAGAATCCTTTCCTGTCTTAATAAATGTATTCATTTTATTCATAGGTTTATAAGCTATATTAAAACCATAAACATGTGAAAGTTTTTTGAATTTTTCAGAAACTTTGCCCAAGTATGGTATCGTGAAAAATTTTTTTGAAGTAACGTTAGAGTCACATTCATTATTAATTTCTTCGATTTTGATCTAAATTAGTTCTATTTTCCAATGTTTTAATTCTATTTTTTATTGTTGAAAATATGAACTTTAAAGGATAACCATTACTTAGAAACGTGAATTAATTCAGAGATGTTTTTTTCATGAAATTTAGGATGGGATAAAAATAGAATTCTATCAAATTGCCCAATAATTTTCCCCTTTTATGTGCTAACGGATGATTCGAATATCACAAACTATAACTTGTGCTGTGGTTTTTTTATGCTCTTATTTTTTATATGTTTTAATATTATAACCACGTTAGTTTTCAAGATATATTATAATAAAATTATTTTTCATTAAGTATTTTTTTAAGTTAGTAGGTTTTAAAGTTATAGTACCGCCGAACATTATCCAAGGTATCCAACTGACGGCTAAAATCTTTTAAATGTTCTTCACAGTCATGGCGTTGTCAACATAATCTATTCAGTCGATTTTCTCAAAAGCTGAAAGAGTTAGGAAAAAACGATTTGGACAAAAATTTTTTTATGATTTTAGAGAAGAAAAGGGGTGCCGTTGTCAGTTTAATTGTAGATGGCGCTACTTTCGAATTTTTTTTGTTATCAGCTCATCACTTCTTTTAAATGTAACTCGATTTTTTTTCAATTAAAGGACCTCGCACTAATCCTATAAAAATTGGATCCTTGAAATCAAATGGTTTTCTTATATGTTATAGCTTATGAACTGCTGAACAAAACATATAAGTCTTAGCGCAAAAAAATGAACAGTTTTCGTGTTCGGTTCATCTATAACTGACAACTCACCAAAATAAAATATATATATAAATATTCAATAATTTTTAAATAGTTGACTTAAAATGGATAAAATTATAGTGTTTTCAAACACTAAAAAGGTGTTTCAACAAAGACTATGAGAAAATATATATCTCCATATATATAATTTTACAATTATGTCAATAAAACAAATATTAAGTAAGACGTTGAAAAATTTAGTTAGAAATTACAATCTTATATACTTATTTACATTAGCGTCAAAAAGATATAATACATAAAAAAGAATTCAAGTTTTTTTATTTGTACAAAATCTTATTGTTAGTTCTACATCATGAATTACTGAGGGTGCAGACAAAATTTCTATTCATTTTTACAATTAAATAAATAACTGCATATTGTACACTAGAATCGCAACATTACCCAGTTTTTTAAATGATGATATCGAACCCCGTTATCTATTTATTTTCTTAAAAATGTGCAATAAAAATTGACGCCTTAACTCTTTGTGTTACAAATATTTGTATTTGACTTTTTTTTTAAACTTTGTACATTGGAGTTTTTCAGATTACTGATTACAAATCAGAAGTCAAAATCTTAAACAATATTAAATACTGAATTTTATTCGACCGTACATATGAAAATACAACCAATAGAATCAATGCCTTTAATCAATGTCTTAAATGGATCTGAAATGCTTATTTAATTCTAAGTGGATTTATATATTGTATTACGTATGTAGTTCTTTAAACTGTGCACCAAAATGATTTTTCAGTCTTGAAACGCAAATTCTATTAAACTACCGCCGTAATATCACGAGTTAAATTAACTTTTGCAATTGAAAAATTGAAGCAATTTAATAATTTAAGATCCTTTTTTTGCATCTTAAAACGCTGAGTGACATATTAAAATCTGTAAATAAATTCTTATTGCGAAAAATATTACCGCGGTCGGAAGTCGAAGCCGGATCTTTTGCATTCCGTGCGAGCGTCTTAAGCCTTTAGATTACCGGGGCCTTAGTAATATTATTCGCAATAATTGGCATATGTAGGAACAACATCTTTTTCAGGTGACATAAATAAAAACAATATTACAAACAATATAAAAACAATATTAGTGTTGAATCTTATTCGACCGTACGTGTGAGAACACAATCAATAGAATAATTCTAAAGACTTAAGATGCTCACACGGAATGCAAGAATTCTGGGTTCGACTCCTGGCCGAGGTAATATTTTTTGCAATAAGAATTAATTATTTATAGAATTTAATATGTCACTCAGAATTATTAAGATCATTCTAAGATACGAAAAAGCATCAAATTGTAAAATAGTTAATCGATTTAATTCTTGATATTACTGCGATAGTTTAGTAATAGAATTTGCGTTTCAAGACCAAAAAATCATTTTAGCGCGCGGTTTAAAGAATTACATACGTAGTATATAAATTCACACAGAATTAAATAAATACTTAAGATCCATCTAAGACTGATAAAAGTATCGAAATCTTCAAATTTAAAATGGTTGATCCAATATGGCGGACCAATAATTCAAATAATTTTTAGTAAAATATTTAATATGTCATTATTTATAAAAATGCAGGAAAGTATCATCCAAAACTAAAATATATCTAAAATATATCATAGATATTGGTATGCAAGAAATGGTACCTAATTATAAGTAAAGGTATCAGAAAAAGAATATCTCAGTACAATTCCTATGTAAATTTGCACCTAGTTACAGGTATGTGTATCTGGGTGATATCTAAGTACTGCCCATCATGACGCAAAAGGTTAAAAGACCCCTCTGGAAGAGATGAGAATTTTATAAAATTCTCAATTTTTATTTAATTATGTATTGTGTATAAAAATATGTACTTGAATGTAATTGAATTATTAAGAATTTCATTTGCAATTAATTCCATTTTATAAAATATGAGAGCTTTGAAATCTTTTATATTATAAGAGGAAGAATTATGATAGATCGGTAGCAACAGAGGTGTGGCGAGGTGGAGCTCGAAGGAGGGATGAATGGAACGGCAGCGCTACGACGCAGCGTCGGGGCTGGTGCAGGCGCCATCAGTGGTGGAGCCATCGAACCAGCACCCATCGCCACTCTGGTCGTATACAAGGACGATGCTGGGTTTGGAATGAAAGTTTCTGGCGACAATCCAGTCTACGTTCAGTCTGTAAAAGAAGGTCCGCAAAAATTCCATGTTTGCATTAATATTTGCATAATAATAATAATTACATATATAATTATAATTATTACATAATAATAATTGTTATAAGCAAATTTTTGAGACTCCTATGGGGATCTTTTATCACCTTTACCTCCTATTATAGCTGAAATAGTTTTACAAGATTTAGAGTCCTCAGTTATTGAAAGATTATCTACAACTGTCCTATTTCCGATACGTGGACGACATTATATTGATAGTTCCTTCTGACATCATGAATGATATTCAAAGAATTTTTAATGTGTTACAAAAGACTATAATTCACCATGGAAATAGGTTTTGACGGTAGAATGAATTTTTTGGGCACGACTATTATTATTAACGAAAATATAATTATTTTTGACAGGTATCATAAACCAACTTTTTCAGACAGATTCCTTAATTTTCATTCTCACCATCACTATTTGTCATAAAAGGGGTATTATTATGCAGTTGACATAACTATATTACTATCTTATTCTCGCGTTCAACAAAATAATTGAAATCATCCATACTTTCTTACATTGGTTATTTTCTTCATTTTATGTCTTCCATTGTACAGAGAATATTAAATTATCATATTACAATATCATAGATAAAAATGCCTATTTATCAAAAATGATGAAAAATACTAAAAAATTTTTTATAATTCCTTATGTTAGATCTGTTTCGGAAAATTTTATGCCTATCGCTCTAGAACTAAATATGAATAGATTTATATGAATAGATTTATTAATATTTCACTGCTTTTATCTATCGCAATATTCTGCAACAACTTTTATATAAGAACTGATGACTATCATGGCATTTGCGGCTAATCACACTCATTGATCGAGCATTTTGATATTTTTTTTAATCAAAGGAACCATTTGAACTCAATATTTCTATCAATATCATTTGATGAATTTAAGCATTTAACAATAAGATTGGAAACAAGACAATTTATGTTACTATTTTTGTAATACTATTTATATAAATACACAGCGCCATTACGGTCTGAATGTTAAGATGTTGAATTAATTTCAGAAATGATAATTGCGTGCTCGGTAGTCTAAAGATTTAGGACGCTCGCACGGAATGCAAGAGATCCGGATTCGACTTCCCGGCTGAGGCAATATTTTTCGCAATAAGTTTATTACAGTTTTTTAAGATTAATTTGAGAAATTTGGGGGAATTATTAATATTTCAGATTGATTGTGTTGAAAGTCCGACAATCATATCGGCACGCAATTATTATTCCTGAAATTAATTCATTTATATGAATATATATAATCGTTCAACATCTTAACATTCAGATCGTAGTGGCGCTTAGTATTTAAAGTTAAGCATTTAAATTTAAATTATTTTTGTTGTTTTTAATGAAAAAACGTAAAAAATTATTTCGGAAGTAAAGAGAAAATTTTTTTTATAAGAAAAAATTTTTATTATCATTTTTACAAATTTGATATATTTTTTGAAAATGAAAATTTGAAATATTTTTCTAATTATTCTGCATATAGAAGTATAAGAGTAATAAAAAAAATCAAGTAATTTACGATTTAGTTTATATTATATTATTTAGTTTATATAATTTGTTATAATATGTTGTTGGCATAAAATAAACTATAAATTTATAAAAGTTGTGTCTTGTAAACCATAAATTTTTTGGTAATTATATTTTAATATTTTTATGCACAGAATAATAAGATGATTCAATTGATGTAAAGACATCTCATGGTTTTTTGATAATTGCGTATTGTAAATTGCATAATTTTTTAAATATAAATAGTATAACATATTTTATATTTTATGTTAAAATATGCCAAAATAAAATATAAATATCTCATAAGCTATTAATTTTTTTGATAACTATTATATGCAGAGTATTTAAAATAATTATATTACGTAAAAAATCATTCTAATTAATTACGTAAAAAATAATTTTTTTTAAGATTTTCTTGAACTATGTATATACAAATCATGTACACATTTTTGGAATTATCAAATTTATCAATTTATTGAATCTGAACAAAATCATAAAATTCAAAGATTAATGAGAGTTAAACGCAGATGTAAGAGACGAATCTGATATCAAAATTTAAAATAGTATTTGCTATATATAGATTCTTAATAGTAGTCAATATATATATATTTTTTTTTTAGTATAAAAATGTAACTAAAAGGAAGACCTCCAATAGTTTTGACTTTGATACATCAAGTTATCTTGAATATATAGGTTAAGCGAGCGCCAGGAATGCTTGGAAGGAATGAAGAATTTTAGATACTTGAGGAGACTACTTATTGTTATTTTTTTTAAAGCAACTACGTGTCTTCTTTAGATCAATTGATTCGTCTCATTATTCTGTTCATAAAAGTATTAAAGTACGATTATAAAAAATAATAATAGTTTACGAGTTATTTCACATTTTATGTGCCATAATAAAATATATAAAATATTTTGTAAACTATTGGTTTTGTGATATCTCTACATGAATACTTTTATATGCAGAATAATTAGAGGAATCATTAATATATGTAAATTGTCAGCTTGAGATTGCTAAGTAAAAATTAATAATTAGAAAGATAAAAAAACACGAACAATGTTTATTGGATGTTTAAAAATAAACTAGTTTATTACAATATACATTAAGGGACTATAATAGAGCATATCGGGTAATCAATACAGCGCGGTAATTAGTGCACAAAAAATATATATATAATTATCAAATAAAATTTACATATTATAAATATGTACAATATTCTTGAGGTTTCCACGGGCGCTTTCTGTATGAAGATTGTGTTTCGCGGATTTTCTTCGTCCAGATTCATTCTTGGAATGCCAATATTTCGTGTACCTTGCAATCCACTTCATCAGGGTGAGGAGCCTGATACTGAGCTGTTCCTTCGGGCCGTTCTTTTTTATATTACGCTGCTTGTTGGAGTGGTGGGAAGAAGATAATTGTGGGTGGGTGGATGGGAGAGAGGGAAGATGAGGAAATTGTCAATCTTCAATAATCGGAAGAATGGTCTTCCATATTTTATTTATGCTGTAGCTATTTTCTCTATTTAGATTGTTAGAGTGTTTTTGTATCTCTATGACTTTTCCATACTTTCTTGAAAAGTATGATGAAATGTTGACGTGGTCATTTTGTCAAACAGTATTTGATATTCTGTTTTGACGTTGTGTTTTGATAATGCCTATGTCGTGTTTTGATAATGACTACGTGACGTGTTCTAGCCTGACATCATGCTAGTGTTCTTTTATCCGTAAGTTATCCATTCTCCCGATATACTTTTCTCTAACGTATACTTGCCCGCAGGAACAAAGTATTTGTTATTATTCTTGTTATACAAAGTTATACTCTTGTGGAGCTGAATGGAGGTCTTTGATCTTCTTTAGGATTTCTTAAGATTTCTCCTATCTTTTTGGGTTTAGTTAGAAGATAGTTCGGATATTGTTTGTTTAATATATATATATATATCCTGTCAATCCAATCTGTTATTCCTTTGATATATGGAAGAATGGATAGGATCCTTTTATCTGGTTGTATGTCAGAGACCTGTCTGTTTGTATGTTTATTAATTATTTTGATTATTTTTTTGTCCTCTCTTTTTTTCTGTAAGGCTAGTTTTAGGTGGTTGAGTTCTGTCTGTAGATCTCTTTTGTCAGAGGTTTTTACTTTTTGCGACAACTATTGTTTTTTTTCACGATTTACTATGATAAAAAACTAGTTTAATTCTTAATGTATATTATAATACACTAGTTTATTTTTAAACATTCAATAAACATTACTCGTGTTTTTTGACCTTTCTAATTATTAATGGAGGAATCATTATGTAAAAAAAATTATACTATTCCATTTGAAAAAGTGAAGATGACCTTTATATCTTTTTAATGGCTTTACTTAGAAAAAAAGCACGTGTCTAATCTCCCTCGAAACTGTTCTATTTTCTTCTAAAACATTTGTTCGTGTTTTACGTATTTTTAAATATTTGTCTAGGATTTATTAAAATGGGACAGTGTATACATATATATACACGGAGAAAATTTTATATTAAATTTTAACATAATTTTAAATTACACTTTACTATGTCTTATATTTTTGATGGACCATTACAACATGATTCCGACATAACTTTTACTATGATAATACTAATTTTTCACATAAATAAAGTAATTTTTGTTAAAAGCCAATGCTTAAGTCATATATTAGATTCGATTGATTTCGTGTAAAAACGAGTGAAATGAGCCTAATTTTATTAACATCGGAAGTGAAGAGGCTAAATTCAACACTTATCGATTTACTATTACCGAGATTTATTATTACACTGCGAAAAACTTAGACTTTATCTTGTTGTTTTAATCAATAATTAAAAATATCAGTAATTGTATGTTCGCAAACATAATCTTTATATCAATATTTACAAAAAGCAATAATTAATTTTTACTTTTAGCATTTTGCGTTATACTGTATTAATACTCGAACGTGCAAATTAGGCGGTATAATTCATTAACTTCAAATGCTTATAATTGAAAAAACTTATAGCCTCAATATTTTAGTATTTGAATTTTTGTCTTAAAATAATCTTAGGAATTCTCTCTTAAGCCTTGTTCCGATCTTTTTTTCCGGGACTCTATATATGATATACAGAGTGATCCAGACCAATCGCAGGAGCCGGCATGTATGTATTTCTCATGAAAAACTGAGTCGAAAATGTTAATAGCAAAATGTTGAGGTGTCAATAGTTTTTGAATAGTGAGCCTTTGAAACCGTCCAATGATGGCGAAGTTCGCGCCGTCAGGCGCCGCGCAATCAAGCGGCCGACCGCGATCGCGCTTTGATGGATATCGTAAAACATCATGATGAATGAGTATTGAAAAAAATTTATGAAATCTCTATTATTATAGGATGGGACACTGATCGCCTCAGGCGAATATCAGAAACTAAAAGAAATACAAGAAAAATGTAAAAGTTGTAGGTTTTCTTAGTGGAAATAACA